TTTTGGTTTTGATAATTCGTTTAATTGATTTATTACTGCTTTTTTAGTCCTTTATTTTCTGCTCTGTTCACGATTAACTTCTTCATTGAAACATTTAACCATTTTCTTTTTTTTTGAGTTGAGGTCTCACTCGGTCGCCCAGACTGGAGTGCAGTGGCCGCTCCCGGCCACCGCAGCCTCACCTGCTGGGCTCCGGCGATCCTTCTGCCTCAGCCTTCCGCGTAGCAGGAACTACACGCATGTGCTACCACGCCCAGCTGATTTTTTTTTTTTTTTTTTATTGTAGAGATGAGGTCTCGCTGCCCAGGCAGGTCTCGAACCTGCGGGCTCAGGCAATCCACGCACCTCAGCCTCCCAAAGGCACAGGATTACAGGCTGAGCCACTGAGCCTGGCTCATTTTTCTTTTTTTTAATTAGAGAAAGTTAAAAATTTTTTAAATTTTTATTTTAGAGATGTGGAGTACAAGTCAGGATTAGGTACATAAGTGATCTACATACAAGTGAAGTTTGAGCCTTCCGCTGGTCCTCACTTGCCTGGTTTAGGATCAGGAACCCTTGGTGATGTGATGTGCCCCCTCCTCTCTCCCTCGTCTGGTAGTGCCCCACTACTGACAATCCCTTTCTTGCATTATTGTAATAAATGCTCAGGATCCACTTATGAGTGAGAACATGGGTCCTCAGTTCTTTGTTTCTGTGATAGATCACTGAGTACTATCGACTCTAAATCCACTGACATTGCTGCGAAGTTCATAATTTTTCCTTCTTTATGGCTTCATAGTATTCCATCATGCATATGTACCACATTTTCTTTATCCAGTCCACTTTCGATGGGCAACACAGTTGGTTCCATATTTTTGCTGTTGTGAATAACACTGCAATAAACATGCATGCGCAGGTATCTTTTTTTTGTAGAATGATTTAAGTTCTTAAACAGTGTGGCAATTTCTAAGAGATCTAGAAATTGACCTTCCATATGACCCAGCAATCTCTCTTCTGGGGATATATCATTTTTCAATAAATATATTTAGGGCTATAAATTTCCCTATACGCACAGCTTTAGCTTCATTTTACAGTATTGAATATCTTTATATTTCTGTGCTAAGTTCTCAGAACTATCTTGCATTTCACAATTTGCTCTTTGTGTTCCAACTTATAGTCTGTTTTGAAATCTTGCCTACTAAATACTGTATTTGAACGGCTATACTTCATTTCTAAGATCTCCAATTGGTTCTTTTTTATCCTAAATTTATAAAAATTATTTTTGATGAGAAGAAAATTCTAGGTCAGAACATTTTTTTTTCAGGGTTTAAAAAATGCTATTTTATCGTTCTCTTGCTTCCACGGTTTCTGCTGAAAAATTAGCCTTTCGTATGTTGCTGATCATTTGAAAGTAATATGCCTTTTCCACCTTCTCTCCAGGCCTTGATATTTTTATTTGCCTTTATTTTTTAGCTGCTTCATTATAATAAGCCTAACTGTTATTTTCTTTGTGTCTACTTAGAGTTTCTGGATCTGTGGACTGATAACTCTCATCAGCTTTGTAAAATTTTCTTTACAAATAGTACTTACTCTTATTCTCTTTCCTCTCCTATGGGACTGCAGTTACAAGTACTTCAGGTTTTTACATTATTTCTTAAATGCCTTTTATGCTTTACTTTGATTCTCTATTCATTTTTGTCTCAGAGCTTCAGATTGGCATTTCTATTCACTTATCTTCCAATTCTTTTCTAAAATTCTTAACTGCAGATACTGCATTTTGTAGTATTAGAATGTCCATTTGATTCATTTTTAAAATTTTTTATAATCAGCTTCAGTGTTGATTTAGTTTTCATTATTATTATTTTACTTAATTTTATTATAAGGATGTGGAGTACAAGTCAGGATTAGATTCACATATCTAGTACTTTTTTATTGTTTGACAGACATGGTATTAAAAGGAATTGTAGAAGCTCCACATAATATCTTCCACCAGCAAAAGCTACTTGTTTCTTATGTTAGATCAATAAGGAGTTGATACCCTTGATATAATCACAGCTTAAGCTGGGTTGAAACTGTTTACAGTTTTAGTAAGATTCATTTCTTTCACTTCTGTTTCTTCTCCATCTCTTGGACATATCTCTCCTGAACTTTTGATTGGAAGGCTGTCGGTTTCTATCTTCTTAATCTTAAAACACTAGGGGAAAATCCGGTTTCAACCTTCAGAAGTTTGAAATCTTGTCCCTCTAAGTTTAAAAATACATATACATTTTGGGGGAAGAGAATAGGCATGTGTTTGGGGTGGGCCATACTCCTCAAAGCAGGAAATTTTTTCCTAAATATTGTGAGATCAAGAGATTTTTAACCTACTCTGTCAAATTCCATAGCCTTTTGTACAGCCTTAGAATTTTGAAAATGAATCCCAGGGAAAGCCAGCTGTGCATTAATGACTCCTGAGGTTTCCAAATTTCCATGCCAGTCCTGCACATCTTCCAAAAGCCTTGCTCATTTCTCTTTTCTCTAACAAATCCCTTTGTGTTTGCTAGGTCTGATCCTCAACCAAATCCAAAACTGGCAAATGCACCCACAGGGAGAAAACAGCCAATAACTGACTACACTCATCAGAAAGACTCTCTTTTCTGAAATTTTAATTCATTTGTTTCTCTTCATTTCTATATCTCTCTGCTATCTTTAAAAACATAATTTTTCCAATTTACCTGGAATTTTTTAGTTGCTATAAAATCCATAGTCTATAAGTACCTACTACAGTATTCCTAGAACATAATCATACTTTAAAGTTATTTTCAAATTTCTCTTATTTTCATTTTCATTTAATTTTTTCCTACCTGTTATTTTTTTGATTAGTCTTCTTCATTTTTTTTTAACATTTTGGTTTGCAGGCTCATCTTGAATTGAATTTTTTTATTGCACTGTTATTCTCTCTCTCTCTCTCTCTCTCTCTCTCTCTCTCTCTCTCTCTCTGTCTCTCTCTCTCCTCATCACTAAATGCCTAGTGGATTCACAGTTACTCCTGCTCTCCCCTGGTAACTCCCAAACAAAAACTGTTTTATATGGGTGGTTTGGGGTTCCCATTCCCCTGAGAATTATGATGCAGCATGATGCCTACCTTAAGTTTTGATTGCAAACTTCTCCCTCCCAAGTCAATGTAGACAACAACCTCTCCAGCTTTCTGTGATGAGCAGGTATGATCCGTCTCAGTGCTTTTGGTCAAAGAGCTTGGTTCTGCTATTCTGCTTTATGCATGTGTGGTGGTGGTGGTGGTGGTGGTGGGAGAAGAGTGGAGTATTTCTAGTCAGTTAGTCAGAGGATATGAATTTCTTTCCACTTTTATCTCCTTCTAGACTTGGAGTTCAGTAGGTCCTCTGCGTCACTCTTTCTAAACTGTTTGTATTTCTGCCCTTTGATTGTTCTGTGGATATGTCTGTCATGTTTCTTAGCTTAACTTTATTTTTTAAATTTTTATGTTTTATCCATCTTAGCTATGCGTTTGAGTTGAGAGAAGATGACTTTGTTCAAAGCTCAACATAACAATGCAATTTTTTCCAAAAGTTGAACTTGAGATTTTTTTAGCCAGTGTTTTTTGGTTTTAACTAGCAGTGGGCATAATCTTTTAACCTCACTAGGACATCACTCAAGAACTCTCGATGTCATTTAGCATGCTGTATCAGTCACCTTTTCAGGATGTCATTTTCCACACACTCACACACACATACACACACACACACACATACACACAACCCTGGAAAATTGATGTAATTGTTCACAAAATTCCTGAGCAAAGAAAATGAGATTCAAACAAAACCTCCATGTACCCTCAATCCATGGTGAGGTACATCTAACACACAGTATATACTAAACAGCACTTCCTCACCATTTCATTAATAAGTAACAGGGCAGAGTCCTCAAGCAAGTTTGAATTTTTCTTTGTCTGTGGCCAACTGGTAAAAATATTCCGATTTTTCTATCTATCCTTGGCTCACTCATTTCTCGTCTGTGAAAAACTTACTGAGCATAGCCCAGAGATGAGGATTTGTCTCAGCACATTGGCACAGACCTCAGACAGTATCCATTCAGGATCCTCTCCTGTTGCTTTCCTAAAAATATATTCCCTATTTTCTTTAAATGCCCACCGTTACTCTCCTTAGGGAAAAATATTTTATTGTAGTCAAATACCTTACTGGAGTTTCTTTGTGAAAAGTCTAATAGCCATAATACCTTGGGTGATATGAATTTAGCCCTGATTTCAATGGGACAGAAATGAACATGAGAAGGGGCTGTTTATAAGACCCATAAAGATGCTCCAGGTTGCTGAGAGATAGTGGGCTGGAGGTTGCCATTCGCTGGGACAGACAGGAGAAAAAACATCTAGGTTGAATAGGAGGATTCTACAATGAAAATTTGAGGGAACGTTACAGTTTTGCGGAGGAGCAGTTCTGACCTGGAACATCCAAAAAGAGCATCTGGTATGTAGAGGCATGCGTGTGGAGATGCCCATATAATTGTGAGAGTCAGGGAGAACCTCCCAAAGGGAGGACAGAGTGGATAAAAGCAGCTTGTGTGCCTACCAGGTGCTTCCATGCAGATGTGTGTGTCCAGGCTCTGGGAGTCACAGCATCAGGACAGCTGGACAGCTGGGCTCTTCCATCTTCTCCCTAGCTTCCCAACCAAAGACACAGCTGGCCCCAGCGTGAGCATGGGAATGCTTTGGGAATCCATGCATACTTCATGGACACTGGTTCTGGTATAAAAGCAAGTGTCTTCCAAATGTCATAACACAGAAATGGGGACAATTCCGGGTTAACTCTTCCGAGGTTCAAAGATCTCCCAGAAAGAGAATAAAAACACACCTAAACAATTATAACATTTCTTTACGGATTGATTCATTTACTTACATTTTTCATTTATTTATCAGATACTTATTATCTCCTCTGTGTCAGGTAATACTCTAGGTGCTGGAAATATGGATGACCAAGACACTGTCCTTGTCTTCTAGGGAGAAGACAGACAGGTAAACAAGTAAACAAGGAAGAAGAGTAGAAGTGTTCAGAATGTCCCCCTCAGAAGAGGGGACTCCATGGTGCTACCCAGGAGTGCTGAGGTATTGAATTCTCATCCACACTATCCAGAGGGGGTTGCTTCTTTTATATTTTCCTTAAAGACGGATGAAGAATAGCAGCCTTTGTGTCCCAATATGAGAAGGAAATGTAGATCTGTGAGGGAAATCTACATCTCGGGGCAAGTAGTGTTGGGAAACTCATTGTTGGATCTTCTTCAGAAAACCAAATCTCCCGGCCTGCCCTCTTCTTACCCTCACCTCCCATCACTGGGAAGGATGGTGGATAAGCAAGTATGAGGCATACAAGACCTGTCGGAAACATTTATCCAGACATGCCATGCCTTGGTTTGGCCCTCTAGGAACTAAGATGAGGTTTTTCTCCCCAGTGTGCGAGACCCAGGAACGAGCACAAAAAACGACCCTCTGCCATTATAAAGAGTGGGGTGTGTGAGCCCACAGTATGTTCCCACATTTAAAAACATACTACCAGAGAAAAATAGAAAATGTCAGTATTTTAAGGTTTTTGTTTCCATCACATCAAATATTTGAGTGTCCACAAATATCCCGAGGGTGGGTATCCTGTAGAGTGATAACATCAACCGCCATTTATTGAGATAATACTGAGTGTGGGTACTGTGTTAAGTACTCAAAAGCACAATCTCATTTGATCCTTACTTTCTATTATTATTTCTATTTTGTATGTTAGGAAATTGAGATTAAATTGAGTTTCCTTAATATATTTAAAGTCACACACACACACAATTGTGAGTGGAAATCCTATATTCATACCTGAGTTGGCTTTCTTTTCAATACACTCTTCTTCCCTTAAAAGCATCTAGCTGTTTCACTGAATATTTTCTTGTGAATTGGTGGCTAAATGAATGCATTATAAGTTTTTTAAAGTAGTTTGCCTTAATATTAACCTTAGTTGTTTTCCCTACTTACATGTGCTCCACTGAACTGTGGGCCTCAATGTGCTGGTAGTCCGTTTTTCTTTTCTTCTTCTTGTGCTGCACGGCAACCCGTGCAGGGCTGAACCCACTCCAGGAGCTCACAATTGGCCACAACCCACTAATCAGTGGAATAAAATGCCCGCCACGCAGACTCACTTACTCAGTTTGGGATTGTGCCCCATTCACTGAGAATCCTTTCTTCTTTGTCTTTTGGGAAAATCCTGGGCCATCATTTATTAAACTTTTAAAATGTATTATTTATTGAGGCTCTCTTATGCCAGGGATTAGGCCCAGGGGCACGAAGCAAACTAAACATGGTTCTTGCCTTTAACAAGGTCATAGAGTAGTTGGAGAAACAGACATTTAAGCGATTGCAATGCAAAGTCTGCACTGAGGGCTGGACTCGGGGCACAGTCAGTCTTCTGTTGGAGTGCAAAGGTACATCCATGCACTGTGTCTCCCTGAAGCGATGGTCATTATGGAGGTGATAGTGGCCATAAGAGAACTTGCAGTAGAGCCAAAAACATGCTCGAGGGTCTGGGGGGAGAACTTGGTGCCTCCTGGAAAATGAAGAAAATTCGTTATAACTGGAGTAGGCTCTGCAAGGTGGGTAACATTGAGAGATGAGACTGAGAGGAAGGAAGGAGACATGTTATGAGCGGCTAAAAAATGTGGCCTTTTCTAGCTGTAAAACAAAGCTAATAAGACTAAGGATGTGCTACCTCCAGATGTTCCCAACCAGCAGGAAGTTTTGGCATCATTACTTTTCTTTCCCATCCCTGAGGCTTCCAAATTTTTTCTTTCCCGGGAAATCCCCTCCAATGACAAGTCTCCACTCATTGACCGGCCAAAGGCAACCCCTCCTCTCTGCAGACTGGTCTGTCGCCATGCAGGAGTGGATGTTATGGAGTTGCAGCCCTACGCGTTCCCGGACTAAAGCCAGGCAAGGGCAAGAAAGCCTTCAGTGCCGACCTCCACCAGGCTCGCCCAGTAAATGGTTTTCTCCAGGCTTAATTAAGGATGACTTGATGTCTGTAAGCCTACACTTAAGTCTTTGTTGGCCTGCTATTGTTTCCACTGAGCGTGACAAGGTCTAGGAGCTTTATTCTGTCTGTCTCCACCAAGTGCCAAAAGCAAAATTAAAAAAAAAAAAGAATCCCTACTTTCATTCGCTAAACATGCCATTTACTTGTTTTTCTATTTTATTGCATTAGTCATTGCTATAAACCCAGGATAACCTATTTTTTTTGCCTTTTATGATCGTAATATTCCAAAGCCTGGTGAACACTTACACCATGAGACAGGCCCATAACACACATCCAGAGATGTCAGCTAAAACTCCCACAAGCAGCCCTCCTACATATACCCTCACAGGCTCCCAGAGCACTTTGTCACTATGCTTTTCAGAGCTCCTCTGGGAGATATGTGTGACTGGTAGTATCAGTCATTACTATTTTAGTGCACAATATCGGCCACGTAATTTGTTTCTGTATTCCAAAACTAGAGTTGCCAGATTAAGTGAATAAAAAATGCAAGATATCCAGTTAAATCTTAATTTTAGATCCACAATACATTATTGTTCAGTATAACTATGCCCCCTACAACTTTAGGAACAAACTTATTATTTTGCCTCCCACTGGCTTAATTCTGCAAATAAATATTGAGTGTCATCTTCATGCTAAGCGCTGTGCTAGGTGCCACCGAGTCAAATGTGAAACAGATACAGGTTTTCCCCTTAGGGGGTTCAAAGGCTAGTGAAGGTGAAGATTAGTAAACAGCTTTTAAATGTACATCCTGATACTGACAACAGCTCACACACACACACTCACCCAAATATGCATGCGCAGGCACAGACTGTAGGTGAATCTCATTTATGAATATGGATATAAATATAAATATACATGTGAATCAATAAAATGTTAGCACATTGGAAAGTATTTAGGAATATAACAAAAAGAAGTAATTTGCTTTAAGATTCACCCTGGAAGGCATAGAGAGAGTTTAAAATGAGAACATCTACTAATGTACTACATCACATTATGATGTCAGTACAAACCTAATAATCTCAACATGCATTGAAAAGGAATTCAACCAAGTAAATATTTATTCTTGATTTTTAAAAACACTTAGTAAGATCAAGAATATATAGACAAGTCCTTAATATGATGACGTATGGATGCAACATTCATTTCTAATTCTGAGAACAATGAAATAAAAGTCTTAGAAAAATGGGAATAGATAAATCGTGTGTGTGTGTGTGTGTGTGTGTGTGTGTGTGTGTGTGTGTGTGTGTTTCTCAAACCAAAAGTGAGAATCGTACTTAATGGTAAATAGCAGAAATGCTTTATTTAAAGCCAGGAATGATTTTCATCGCTGTTATTATTTAATATTATACTGCACATGTCAACCATTACAATTGGACAAAAGAAATAATTACTAGATTAAAATTCTTTAAAAGAGATGGCAAATTTGTTATTGCAGAAATTATAGTCATATACCTAGAAAATCTAAGACAATTTAAAATTGTTAGAAAAAATGCCAGTATAAAAGACAAAATTTAATAGGATATTGACCAACAAATGAATGTGAAAAAATCAGTGTCCTTTTCTGTGGAGAAGCAAAATTTAGAAAATATAATAGAATAAGAAAACCATTAATAATGGCAACCAAAGATATAATATCTACATGTAAACTTATTTTAACATATATGCAAGTCCTAAATGAACACAACTTTAAGCCTGAGAGTCACAAAAATAGTTATATATCAACAAAAGAGTCACAGAAATCTTGGCTAGAAACCTTCAATTTGATAAAGTCATCATAAATTACTCTCCACCAAATAAAATAAAAATACCAAGAGAATTTTTGTTGTTGGGATTTTTCTGAAACTTGACAAAAACATGCAAAATTCATCTGAAAAAAAGCAAGCATTTGAAACTTCTGAACAAGAAGAAAAATGAGAGATTGTTTTTACCCAATATTAAGATGTATTATGCAGTTAACAGTAAGTAAAATACTTTTGAGCTCAAGAACATATATTCAGGGGGGGAAATCAATGGACTAGAAAGAAAAGAACAGAAATAGACATGAAAGTACTAAATATAAGATTAAATAACATTTAAAATCAGTGGGAGAAAGATTTTTTTAAATGATCTTGTGAGAACTTTAAAAAAATAAGCTGGATTATTCCTTTTAACAAAAGATATTACAGTTGGTGTGAAGATTTAAACATGTGAACATACAAAGCTATGTAAATTTCAGAAAACAAAAAGTATAAGAAGCTTTTATAAAGCAGATACCTAATTGAGAGACCACAAAAAATAGATAATAATGTTGGTGATTTAGAATCTTAAATCTGTCTCCTCCTGGTGGCATGCCCCTGTGGTTCCAACTATTCTTTTCTGCTTATAAAAGAAAAAAATTAAATCTGTAAACAAAATGATGTGCAGAAAGTGAAAAGACGAAAAACTGAGAACTCATATTTTATACATTTCACAACGGGCTAAATTTTTTTATTAATAAAGAGCTCATAAAAAACCAATAAGAAAAAAAGTAACAATCCAGCAGAAACAAACATGTGGAGATTGTGAATAGGCAACTCAGAAAAAGAATGAACAATCTCTCTCATAATGTAATAAAAGTAATAGTCATTGCTATAATTTATCAGCTGGATAAAACTTAAAGAGTGAAGGTGTTTAGTGCTGGTGATTGTGTGGAAAAACTGGCTTCATGCACCACTGATGGACATTTAAGATAGTGCAACCACCTCTGTGGAAAGCAGTGTGGCGATTCCTAAAAGCTCTAAATATCGACCTCCCATATGACCCTGCAATCCTCCTACTGGGAATATACCCTGAAGAACTCAAGTCACTCTATCAAAAAGATACCTGCACACAAATGTTTATCGCGGCATAGTTCACAATAGCAAGAATCTGGAACCAAACATGCTATCCATCAAAACAGGACTGGATTTTAAAAATGCGGTACATATACAGGATGGAATACTAGGCAGCCATAAAACAGAACAAAATCATGAATTTCACAGCAACCTGGATGGAACTAGAGTCTATAATACTGAGTGATCTCTCA